TAGGAATTAGGAATTTTAATTTGTTTTCGAAAAATCGTTGGAAATTTCACCCGGTTTGGGCTCTCTGCGGACACAGGTAGGCGTGCGGCCGGCTGGCAACATTTGGGAGAGTCTTATCTGCTGGTTTAAAAGGTCTAGAAGTACGATGGAAGAGATCAAAACACGTACTGTAGGATCATGAAGTTCTGCCACTTTCTTCAATTCGTCCTTTTCTCTTGGTATCCTACACAGTTGTGTGTTGAGGCCCTCAAAGATACCGAGGCGAGCCTTGCAGGAATAACCAAAGAGCCAGTATCCATTTCGTATCAACAGTTGAAGGATGCCTTTGACGACCGAACTTCATGTCCCCCCAGGCAACTGCTGGAATCGATTGCTAAGGCATTTGGGCCAGATGGATTAGGACTACTGGAGGTATCGAATATGCCACCTGCTATGGTAGAGCTGAGAAGCAACGTGCTGGACATGGCAGAATCCTTGGCCATGTTGCCAACAGAACAATTGGAAGAGATTACCATTCCTTCCTCAATGTATTCTATTGGATGGTCACATGGTAAGGAACAATTTCGGGGAGAATATGACACTGGTAAAGGTAGCTTCTACTTTGATCCCTTTCACGAAGATAAATCCAATTACAACATATATCCTTCATCGATGCAGCCTGAGTTGGAAGACTCCCTACTCGAAATATCAACTCGCATGGCTGAGATTGGATCGTGGGTTGCCAGTCTGTGTGACTCGTACTTACGAGAGCTAAAGGGCAAGCAAGAATCGCAGGGCACGGAAATAAAGAATGTACAGAGAGACAAAACCGACAACAATGCAATCGACTTGCCAATTCAAACGATGTCAATAGAACAGAGCTTGGCTAATGGAAAGTATGCCAAGGGCCGCTTGCTGTACTACTTTCCAGCCGGAGCTAACATGAAAGACTCATTGCCGCAAAAAGAGGGCGAGATGACTTCTATCGACTCTTGGTGTGGGTGGCATAAAGATCACAGTTCCATGACCATATTGATTCCTGGAAAGCTTTTTGAGGATGAAAGCGACACAAATTCTGGATATGAACCTGGCGATAAACCTGGACTTTACATTCAGTCTCAAGCTCATGCCGTCCATGTCCGACTCCCCCTTACTTCCATTGGAGTGCAATTGGGAGAAACCTTGGAGATTATGAGTTGCGGACACTTTCGAGCCACACGTCACGCGGTGAAAGGGAGCAGCAATCCCAATACAGGTCGAGCAAGTCTCGCCTTGTTCTTGCAACCCGCTCTAGGCACGACCCTGCCGCAGCTCTACTCGCTAGCTGCAGATGAGTCTTTGAGGCAACGATGGCGGCCTACCTATGGAGAATTTCAGGAAGCAACCTTTGCAGCCTTTCTGTAGTGGCAGCGATTTTGGCAAATTAAGGGCAGATTATGCCTATTCCTCACCCTCAATTAATTGTATCGAAAAACTGCCAACACTTCTGTTCCGTAATCAGGAGTGACATGCCTATGCTTCTTCAAGATGCAGTACGTCTAGTAGCCACGGATATCCATGTTGGCAATCAATTACAGTATACTAGCTCGCTAGTACCTGAAAACGTTGCTTCTCTCACTTAAAAATTACGTTTATGTGATGGCAATAAAATAATGGCGCCCAACATTTAGTGACATCGAAGCCAAAGACTCCTCAGGTACCTCCATTACAACCTGCAACTCAAACTCAATATCGTCAGAGCCGGAATGTTGCAAGGTTCGGATCAAATGAATAACACGAGTCGCGCAATTTTTAGTACTGTCCAAAGCATTATGCCGTTCCAACAACTTCAAAGACCTCAGTGTCGGCAAATAGAGTGGCAAATGGACGGGTTTCAATGCCCAATTCCAATAGTCACTGCCTGCATGCAATTGTTACAGCTGCAACAAGTACGTCAATTGTACCGGTAACTTGGATGACTTCTCAACATTATTACAGCTCATTAGCATTTCGTATTTCTTCCATTGTCTTTCCTCCATGTTTCCTCAGTAACGATAGCATCATTTCAAATCGAACATCTCCGTCCTCCAAGCCCTGAAGTTGCAAAGCAACATCGGTCACAGTAACAGAATGCACTTTGTCCACCATGCTATCAAAATCTGCGTTGACGTCGGCTCCATTTTCCAATAGCAGCCTAGCATTTTCTACATGCCCGCCAAACACGTTCCAACTCAACGGGTGCATCCGTAGTCCATCTTCCCAGGTAGAACGAATATTGGGATCCGCTCCTTTGGACAATAAAAGTGTCGTTACCTCACCATGACCATAAATTCCCGCCAAATGTAGACACGCCTCGCCATTAGCAGTAGTGGCATGGATCCAAGCTATATGTTGTTGAGAACATGCAATTTGAAATTATTAATAGTGCCGACCGGGTAAAAACAATGATTCGCATTTTATATTAATACAATGTAGCCACACTCCCAATTTACGGTAAAATCTCATTTGGGATGAAAGTTGACGCAGAACAATTAATTGTCTTACCTGGATTCTGCTCCAACGATCTTTCAATGACATTTACATCGCCTCCACTACAGGCCAACCAATAATTGTCCCCAGGGAGCTCTTCTGCCAGAGCCAGTGGAAGTGTCACGAACAAAACAACGAGACAAACTTTAATGGTCCAAAGTAAAATGTGATCAATTTCGTCCATTTTCTTTCGGCGTGGAACAATGTGTTCGTTGGCGACACCCAGAAGAAATAGTATCATGCTTGCCTACTCTATGCAATAGCGAAATGGATTTGGCATCAATCACTGCTGATGTAGTGCAGTATTTTGTGAGAGATTTTGACAACGTCAATTTATTTTCCTGCAGCAAAAACTCAACCCGGAAGCGGGCATTGGAGGCATCTTTGGCTAATTTAGCGCACAGTATTCCGTTGGACGAGTTGAAACTGTGGATATATTTGTGCACCTTTCGTCGAACCTCCTGGTACGACGACAAATGGCGGATTATATTGGAACTATTTCCAAATTTAACATTCCAGCTATAGGAGCCTTGTGGTCAACACATGATATAATGTTTCCATCCCCATCTGGCATTTTGTATTATACTAGAGCTGAAAAACTGCTAGAGTTAGGTGAATATTATTATGTCTGTGACTGTGGCTTCTACAACAGTAAGACAAGAGGACAGTATCGTACCATTTGAAAAAAACTAAAAGTCGGGCTCGTCCAAGAGAGATGTTTTCTCCACATCTGAGCGACGATTGGTCTCCTTGGTTACGGAACTTAGATTCTTCATTTCCTTTTCGGCTTTCTGGTTGCCCGATGCCATAACAGACCAACCAATCATCATTGGGATGGGATTAGCTGTTATCAGTGTTGCTGCATAGCCAACATAGAATGGAACAGCTTGCCGCAATTCTGCCTTGGCGGACCGCTTCATCGATTGCTCCTCGACAGGACGTAGCAACTCTGATATTTCTGCTTCACGGTCCAAATCATGCTCCTGCGCATACTTTACGACACAGCCAAGTATACGTTTACATAATGTTTTGGAAATGCTTTCTTTTTCGTCTTTTTCGTTGGGTGGATATTTTTCGGCGGATAGTGACAAGATGGCACTTAGTTGGGCATAGGAAACCCTGTCGTGCTGTTCAGCTTCATCATTGGGAGTGTCATTTTCACAGTCATGATGATCATCGTCGCTGCTATCATGAAATGAAGACCGCCGTGATGATGAAGTGCCGTTAATGACTACCATTGGAAGGTATACCGAATAGTCCTCGTCATCAATGTGACTCAATACAACCTCTTCTGGGTATACAGCTGGTCCCTCGTCCACCATGAAGAATGCTCAATGGGTGTAACGAATCGAAAATCCTGTGGATAATGAACAAATTCACGGTTCTTTTGCATATTTTCGGCTGCTTTTGCTTGTGTCCCCACCATTCGCTGGCCCGACATCATGCCAGGACTGTTGCTCGTTGTATTGGTTCGTGAATTGCGTCCTCTTTTCCGCCACATGTCTTATCCAGTTGTCTATATCAACAAGTTAGGCCTACCCGTTTGAAAATACCCTTTTTAAATCAGGGACAATTGTGATGTAGGTGGTAAAACCTTGACTAAAAGTAACGCAATACTGCAAGTTTCAACCTTTTGTGTCTTGCGTCCTTGAGTGAGTTGGAGTGTGTACACTTCGCAATTCAGTTTCAAAACCATTTTTGTGGGACTAACAACGGTCGACTGACTGACTGACTTGACTGACTGACTGACTGACTGACTAGGGTGAAGGGTGATCAACTCTGTTTTCATTGATTGGTCACTACCGGCATGGTCTATGGTCATCGTTCAGGTTTCGGTAGATCAAATATGGATATGATAAAACTGCATAGGAAAAAGAAAGTCCAGAAGCAAAGTTTTCCAGGATTGATGCTACAGGCCACAAAAAAAGGTAAATCATCATCACTGTTGTCTCTTCAACGCAGAAAGATAGTTCAAAGTCCCGAGGGCCATTTGCAAATGACGATATCGCTGGTTTGGGCAAACTAAATGTCGCGTTATGTCGCGATTGTGAGTGGATTTCATGCTCTACTTACTTCAGCAACTCTGGTTGGGGCTTGGCTCCTTCATGAACACATCTGTCAATAGCACAGTATAGCCAAGGTCTTGTTTCTTTTGATCTGTTTCCTTCCAAGTCAGCGCCGTAAGATTTCGTATCTTCTCTTTCGGATTCACCCCAGCACAAATAGCCTGACCTACATTGATTGCAAACCAGAACAAGCATGCGACAAGTATTGCATCTGGCTTCTTTGTTTTCACTTGGAGCATGGCCGTTATCATAGTCATCGTGTGGGGCCTCACAGATCAAACACCGTCCCACTGTTTCACCACGATGTACTGGATCTGTCCGTCGAGGATCAAAGACAAAATTCTTTCCCTTGAATAGGCACATTTGCTTATTATCTGACTCTTGCAAATATGTTTGAATGCCACCCTTGAGTTGATATACTTTTGTTTGTGGATACATGGCTTGCATCATCATGGAAACCCGTTCGCAACGAACTCCGCCTGTGCAATACATGAAGACTTCCTCCTTGTCCTTTATATTCGGATTTTCTGCCAAGAGCTCTGGCAAGTCGGAATACTTGCGTGTATTTGTGAGTAGTGTTGGAACATTTGAGACCGAGAAATGCCCAACTCTGCTTTCATATACATTGCGAACGTCCAAGAGCAGGGCATTCTCTCCGTCCGCGTTTTGAAGTTTAACGTTCCATTCTTCGGTTGTCAGGTGCTGTGACGGTGAGAGCGTCATCATTGCGTTTTGAATACGAGGGAGCTCAGCCACCAATGTAACCTGTTCCTCCGATACATCTTTGCCGCTCTGGTGTTTCTTTTCCTCTTGACGCTGCTTCTTCCTCCGCACCCTTCGATTGTTCTGCTTCGAACGGGAGTTTCTATTCTCTTTCGTGGAAGAGGCAGCCGTTCCTGCCGGATGGAAATTGTCAAATAAACAAATGACACTACTGGTTTCCTTGCAGATGAGTTTGTCAAATAACTGTGGTAGAACTGCACATCGAAATCAGCAACACTCTTGGTGGCTGTACATATACCAATCGGAATGATCGATTCCATGTGATGACTTACTCGGCAAATCTTCTCGCAAGAAGCAGTATTTGATATTCAAATCTATCGTGTTGCTTTGTGATTGATGAGTACCGAGATCCAGTAATTGCTTCAATACTTTATCTTCATACTGCTTCAAATCGACAAGCTGTCCTGTCAGCACCCCATTCAATCCCTCTGAAGAGACTCGTATTCTCCCTTTCAGTGAGAGGTTTTTGCACAGGTGACGATGAAATTCGACGTGGTCTGGCACATTGGATAGATCGATATAGCAGTAGTATAGTGCCACCCGCCAACTCCTGTGTTGCCCTGGATCCATGGTCATTAGATCCATGGTATCTTCTGCTGCCACTGTGAGGCACGCAACCACTGATTGCTTCATTTCTGCGGCCATCTACACTCTGTAGCAATCGTGTTTGATGTCGCATGATAGACGCCGTCTGTACTTCGTTCCTCAGTCACATCTGTTATGCAGCCTCCATAGAGACACCAAATAAAAAACTAAAGAAGTCTCAAAACACGATTGCTGCAGAGTGCGGCCATCTACCGGGCTGGTCAAAAAAGTCGATTGAATTCAGACCGTTAAGGTAATATATCCAAACCTTCGTATCTGTGGATGTATATAAAAATTCAATTTTGATTTTACCTCCCACCTCCCACAATGCCTCCTCATCAGAAAAATCACGAAGACATGAGACATCTCTCTTCTGGCTCTGGCTCTGGCAGTCAGGACAGTCATGACTCCTCAGACGATCATGGCAACCAACGCAGCTACTCCAGCCAGAACACCTATAATATGACGTTCGTTGCTTGTGATCTTTGTTACAATGGAGAGTATCCTCCAAAGCCAAGGAAAAAGCTCTCCAGTTGGCCCACAGTAACTTGTAAAGACATTTACTATGACCTTCAAAGCTTGAACAAACATGCCAACCCCACACAGTGCTACAGTAAAGCCAATGAGTATAGAGCAAGTTGTTGCTCCGAAGCTACTACTGCCAGCACCAGGCAATCTCGCCCGCAATCCTCGTTCCCCCATCCGAAGCTTTCCACTGTTTTCGGGATCTTCCTTTTTTGGTTTATTGCAAGAGAGTACGTCAAGTCACGACGAAGACTTCGAGATGGTGCTGACGACTACGATGATTCATCTAGTATGATCCCCCCGGAAGAAGGAGCTGACTACAAACAAATGGATTCGGAAGAGAAAGGAAAGGACGCACCACAAAAACTCATGAAATTGGGTTCGAGGCCATCAAGTCGTAGACGGAGTAGAAGTGGAAGAAGAGGAAAGAGTAGACGGGACGACTATGACGACGACAATGATAGCAACGCGTCACCAATTCTTTCCATTATTCAAATGCTGATCTCGACCCCAAAACACAAACAAAGAAAAAAGAGACCACAGCGAGGAAGATCACGGCGTCGAAGTCGGAGCAGGAGTTCGAGTCGAAGCCGAAGTAGAGGAAGACGATCAAAGAGCCGGCCGATTGTGCTGGCGGAGCCAGATCCCCCTCAAATGCAACTTGTTTGATTTTTTTTAAAATTAAGAATTTCTGCACTGAAAACGCTGCAGGTCCTCTTGATACTAACAACTTAAATTTTTAAAAGTGACAAGCATCGTATATTTCTGTTTTCATGGCCACGGCATTGTGTCGACTACTCTACTTTACTCGGTAAACCGTACAATACCATACCAGTATCGAGACATTATGTTTGACTGGTTCGACCCGTCAATCGAGTCCCGGGTGCCCAAACTCACGTGGCAAAAGTTCGATCACATTGACTACTACATTTGGCGTACGGTCGAACGTTCATTTCCAGATCGTATTACAGCAATACAAGCAGAGTGTAAAGTATCATTTCCCCTTTTGAGTATGTTGGTTGCATACATCGTTGGCCCTCCATGCCTCAAGCGTGTTTCTGAATCCTTTGTCGAATATATTGTCGAATCGTTCATTTGGAGAAGTATGGCCTCTGAAAACTCCCGTTGCTCTACCAGTACCTCTAAGTCTTTAATCATTTGCGAATCTGTGATTCTTCCAGTCATGAGAGGCATTCCTCCTATCCACCCGCAAAGTTGATTGCTGACGCCTGCCTTGGACGTCGTACCATAGTAGTCACTGAAAAGGGCTCGTTGGAGTTCTGTCTTCGATGGGCATGGCAAAGGAATACCGGCCGCATCATGCATCACAACTCTCTCGCCAGTGATTGGATCGAAGTAGTTATCCCACTTTCTATCACGAAACCTTGCATCTTCCTCAAAAGCAGCAGACATGCGCCACTGGTCTCGAGTTCCAAGCTCAAGTGACAACTTTTCCAGCAGGACTTTTTGAAGGGGCTTTTGCAAGGGCTTGCACCTCTTCTCATAGTCTTTCCATCTACAGGCAGTTCGACCATACTTGAACTCAAAGTAAAGCAACCACTCTTCAAGCCAAGTGAGTTTGGAACATGTTGTGAAAAGCTGATCCAAATCACCATGGCACACAAGACTCGCATAAGAGAGGAGGTTCGGCAAATCTCTGAATCCGGTTCGACGCTTTACTTCCATTGGAGTTAGATCATTTGGTTTGATACAAGGGCGCTCCAACTCTTCCATCTCGGTAGGAATATGTTTCTCATGTCGAGGAAACAAAAGCACACAATGAATTGGGCTTTGCGATCCAACAGGTAGGGTCATGAAGTGGATGATGTTATGTTGGGAGAGCAATCTTGGGGTGATATCAACCAGCGATTCTTGGTTGAAGCCGCTGGTCTAGATGTACATTGTGGATCACTAGATGTTCAGACACCGGAGAAACCACAGTTGGGCAGAGAAGTGGCCTATCGGAACTCACGCCTTTGCTGACTGTCTTTGTTGGGCTTCAGAATCCTTTGCTACCGGTGCCAACTGGTGCCAAGAAATCGTCAATGCGAACTGTTGGAGTTGATCCATCTAGTAACCTGCACGTTGTAGATTTGTTCGTCCATTCCATCTGATGGTCGCCAAAGTGCATTAAGATTTGACACGTTTTCCCTTTGCGACGCCACTTCTCACAACACGGACCTTTTCCAGTTGGGCTGGTGCTCCCCTGTCAAATAGCCAGAATGTGCCGGCTCATATTTGAGACTATTGGACAGACAGATAAAGTTGTCGCGCTGAAGTCCTGCCGGAACATGGGAATATCTTGTGGGTTTGAATCGAGAGATGACGCTTCCACGAGATCCGTCGGAAACTTTTCCTTAGCTTCATCTGGATCCGCCCCGCTGAAATCAATATTTGATCTGACTGCAGCTGATTTCTTAGCCCCAAAACCAACTATACCGCCAGGCAATGCATCACAACCAAGGGCGAGCGCAAAAAGAGTCCGAACACGAATGGAGTCCAAGCCATCAAGATTGGATATGGCGGCGACTCGAGTCTGAAAGATGGTTTGTTGGACCTTTAATTCCGCTATTAGCAAAGCATTGTGCAATCAAAAAAAACTGCTCTAGCTGGACTCTGGCTCAAAAAGAGCTATCCGAGTAGTGAGGCACCCAATGAAACTGCTGGACGGATCCGTGAGGTGATATTGTTGCGTTTGCGCATCAGGTAATGCTGCTCCAAAAAGTAGACAATAGTAGGAAAGTCAACCTTGATAGACTTCCGTAGGATGCTGTTTTGATCGTTGACTCCCATGCTTCATCAGTCGTACGAATGATGCCGAAAAGTGGAGCAATGGTCATGGTCATTTTGCTGTTTTGTTTATTTTATTTGTAATTTTCTCGAAAAAACCTGTCGCGCATCAATTTTGGAGCCTCCCGCGGTTCCATTGGTCATACAGTACCCGTACCGGTACTAGGGAGGCATTTCTTCTCCCATTTGCAAGTGCAAATAGTAATGTCGTCACTTACACCATACCTTCTGACCGCCGATGTAGGTGGTACCAACAGTAGAATGGGACTATACTGCATAGACAGCACGGAACCATTGGCTGTGAAGTACTATCGGAACGAGGATTGCCTCACCCAAAAGGAAGATGGTATTTTTGAGAAGAACGTCATCATCCCTTTCCTACGACACTGTTGGGAATCCAACAGTTCTAATCTGAAGCCGCTGGAGGAAGTGGAAATCATAGGTTGCCTGGCGATTGCCGGACCCGTTCGTAGCAACGTTTCGTGGATGAGCAATCTCCACAACATTGAGATTGATGGATCAGCCATTGCCGAGCATACACACGTCAAGAACGATCTCTACCTGGAACGCATCAAAGTTTGTAAGATCATTAACGATTTCGTAGCTCAAGGGTACGGATGCTTGACTCTGAAACCAGATGAAATGGTTGAGTTGAAACACGGGTCATTTGACAAGATGGATTGTGAGGGTCCCAAGGTCTGTATTGGTGCAGGCACGGGTTTGGGAGAGTGCTTCTTGACTCCAGATTCTCAGGGGCGATACACTTGCTATCCTTCCGAAGGCGGCCACGTGGAATGGGCGCCTCGAAATGAATTGGAAATCGAACTGTGGAACTATCTTCGCGACAAGTTCTCATACCGAAATAGGCTTTCGGTAGAACGAATTGTGTCTGGACCAGGGTTGGCCAACGTATATGAGTTTCTGGCTTTCAAGTACCCAGGTAGAATTGATCCGAAGGTACACGCTGAATTTGAAAAGGAAACAGATATGAAAGCCAAGGTCGTGGCGATGAATACGAAAGAACGCTCTCTCTGCCTTCAAGCAATGGAAATTATGATGGGGTAAGTAGAACACCAATCTATGAATGATATACGACGCAAAAGGTCTTTTCAACCCAATAATTTCAACTTCACGCTCTTGCGAATTCAGTGCCTATGGATCGGAGGCTGGTTCTTCTGCAATCAAATTCATCCCTACTGGTGGCCTCTTTGTCACTGGTGGGTTGACACCCAAAAACATCAAATTCATTGAAGGCCAAGACAGTCCTTTTATGAAGGCGTACAACGACAAAGGTCGTGTGAAACCAATTTTAGAGTATGTGCCTGCGTTCGCAGTGCTGACAGAAGATTTGGGAGTCCGAGGAGCCCACAAGTGCGCAGTACAGGAATACGAAACCTATCTCAATGAAGGAGAGCAGAAACGGAAACGGAACTAGGGATGCACCCATCCCGACTTTGATAAAATTACCAATCACAAATTTAGCCGGAGCAAATCGATTGATTTTTGTCGTACCGACTGAACGTCAAGTCCGATGACATGCTTAGTGCGCGGTGTCGGCTTTTCATTTTCTAGTTGTGCTCCTTGCCCCAAGAAAGTCATCTAACAGCGAACTCAAGGCCTCCGAGAATGCCGTGCGGTTTGCGTGGTTGTAGCCGCGATGTGGAACTTGCATAGGTAGGTGGGCTCGATACAGCTCTACAAGTTCGTCCGGGATTAAGAAGGGCCTTATGTATGCAACAATCGGAGGAATCGTTCCCGATAATTTCCAATTGGACGTGGGGATGCTCTTGAAGTAATCCTGCCCGTGCTCTTGGCTTATGGCCAAAATGATAATATCGCACGCCTTGACTGTTGCGTAAAATTCTCGGTCATCACCTACTATTTCATCTACCATTTCAGTTTGTTCTCTGTATGGGATGAGGATGTTAGGGAAACCTCCCTTTCCTAACATCCGTATTCGTATCTTTCCCAAATATTTTGCATTCTTTGAATTCTCTAAGAATGGTACCAAAAGATTCCAATCTTGTCGAATGGTTGCTCCAACGGAGCAAATTTCAATCTTTGTGTCGTTCTTTCTCTGGACAAATTCTGCACTGACCTGTGGTAAAGCTGATGGAATGAAGTAACGTTCGTGGTGGGGAGATATTTGAATTGCATTTGGCATATCCTCCGTCTTGCTACATCTCCCGTGATGAATGCACACGTGCGGACCGTTTTTCTTTATACTCTGCAACCAAGGTCTTGCATAGCGATCGCAATGGCAAGTTACCTGAATGGTGGTATCCCACGAGGTCCGGTTGGGTTTCGCCATCGCAGCCCTACCAAAGGATCGTGTAATTCCTGTCGTTTCATCAACTATCGATGTATTGAAAACCCGAACATTCATATCAAGAAGCCACGATTTGGTTCTCAACTTTTGACTCGAAGATGTATCAAATTCAAAGTGTAGATGTAGATGATTGCACCTATCCGATAAATTCAAGTATTCATATGGTATCAGTTTGGCAACTGACTCTATGACTTCGTAATGACTGACCACAAAGCATACCAACGTGAGTCATCGGTTTTCCATCGCAATCGGAGCCTCCAAGAATTTAAAATGCAAACTCGACTTACTGTGCGACTTTGTTTGTTACTCGAATTTGACAAGCTGGTAGTTCGTTACTCCAGTCTTGCTTGGCTACTGGTACTATGTGGGCCTCATTCGATTTTGATTTTTCAGCTTCATTCCCTTCACTTAGTTTGCTAGAGTTTACCAAGTAACTGTCGGCAGCCTTGGACCAACGATATGACTTTTCAAAGGATGCGGTTTGATTTCCGCTGCGTATCGAAAGTACAATGAGTATCGTTATTATCACAAATAGATTCAGACGGCGAAGGAACGTTCGTCCCTCCGATGATTGACTGTCATTGCGTATTTCATCGTTTCTTTGGTTGTAAAGCGATGATTGATGTGTTTCTTCGTCGTCATGGTTCATGGTACAGTGCATCGTTCATGGAACCTGGTACATCGTTGATGTTCATGGCGGTGAATACATTTTTTGACCGCTCGCACATATGGTTAGGAGTCGTACATCACGTTTCATAATTGGTGGCTAGATATTGTCCTAGCCCACGCAGGAATGTGAAATACGTCGTGTAGCAATAGACTTACTAGGAGGATGATAAAAGTAAAGGAAAGTTGATAGACGTTTGTAAAAGGAAATCTAGAAAGTTGTGATGATGTGTGTGGCCCATCACCGATTCTGTACGTTACCGCGTACAGACTATGCGTGCGTATCTAATAGCACGGTGACCTTTATTTGGTCCCCTCAAGCTAAG